AAGAGGATCCGGCCACGACGACGGCGGCACCGACCACCGCCATTCTCGCCGCCAAGTCGATCGACTCGGACATGGAAATAAAAATGGAACTAGGCATGGACATGGAGATGGATACCGATCCGTCGACGCCTGTTGCCATCGGCAGCATCGGCAGGAGCGAGCTGAACGAACGCGTGCAACGTACGTCGTTGAAAGATTCGTCAACCATGGTTACCACGATCCCTTCTACCATCGCTGCTGCTTCTTCCGCGATCGACGCCTCGGACCTGGTATCGACGAATCCATTGGCCAGCGATGCGATATCGAACGATGATTCAATGGACGACGGTAGCAACGCTGTCGCCATCGTCGGCGACGTGAACATCGCCACGACGGCCGTGAGGCTGGAAGAGCCCGGTAACAACCCGAGCTTGGCCGATCTTTACTCGTTGACGGACCTGTTGCAAATACAGCCGTCCGATTTCAAGATCGACCTCGACATGGAGACAATAACCACCGACTTGGACACCTTCGAAACCGCCAGTTCCAGCAGCGGATTGCATTTCGAGTTCTCTTGCACGCCGGATGTTACGGATATGTTATCAACTATCGGCAACGACTGGGTTACGTTTTGATAAAACCGGGAATCTATCGTACGGTGGCTGTGTTTTCTCATTCGACGCGTTTTGCAGATAGTCTACGTATTTCATATAGTCTACTTTCTTTCCTTTTTTTTTTTTTCCTTTTTTTAATATGTCGTTTTTACTCTGTCATCTATGTTACGAAGCATGTTCGAACAACGTGATCGAAATGCAGCTACGATCGATTCTCTACCCAGCGTTCTGCACTGAACTGTGAAAATTGCGACGAGCACAAACGTCGTTAAACACGACACAGTTGCTCGTCTTTTCTTTTTTTTTTTTCTTTTTTTTTTTTGTATATCTCTTGTGTAGTATATTAGTTCTAAGAATTATCTTTTAATCTCAACGGCATTATTGTAAAACGATCGATAGAACAGAAGTATCGAAATCCTCTTTTTTTTGTACAGAGAAACAGCGCGTAGGGGGGGAGCACGTCTACATTTTGCGCGAGTGTACAGGTAACAGAACACAGAATCGAAGCGAGAGACGCGCGTGCAAACTTTTTTCCCGATTTATAAATATGTATTCGTCGTCACCTCGTTTTGTTTTCTGTTTCTCTTCGCTTTATTTTCTCATATTATTCGCATTTATTACCTGTACTGTGCGTGCTCCTTTGTGCATCTACGAAATCCTGTTCTATCGATGTTACAACACACGAGATATATATATATATATTATATATATATATATATATATAGGTACCTGCACGTTAGATATATATATATTATATATATATGTAGGTACCTACACGTTAGAACGAACGTGAATCCTCGATGTGTGTAAAAAACGTTTGATCTCATATTTTCTTTTTATCTTTAGCGTTACGTAACGCTGCAGTATGCACTTCTAACTGAGTAATTTGATTGCCAATGCGTCTCACACAGTCAAACATGTATCGGTCGCGATTGCTTTTTTTTTTTTTTTTTTTTTTTCCTTCGTTGGATCTCTTGTATTATATATCTCCGTTAACGTTTTAACGGACCAACGCATCGATACACCGATACCAGCCCCGCGTTATTCGAAACGCGTTATTGCCAACTGCGCGCCGCCAATGTACCACACGCGTTCCAAGGACTTAGACCTCTCCACTGCCGACTAAAGTAAGTACCAGTCTTCTTTTCTCTCCACCGATTCTCTACTTACGTATTTGCTCAGCAACGCGCGTCCAACGACTGCCAATAACGAATAAAAATCTATATACACGGTATCTTGTGTCGTTGTCCTTGTTTCTTCGATTCTACGATCGATTGCATTACTAATAGGTTTTTTTTTTTTTTTTTTTTTTTTTTTTTTTTTTTTTTTTTTTTTTTTT